GCATTGAGGAATGCACATAGCTTCATGGTGGCTAGACGTAGATTTGGAGGTAGAATTCCTCTTAATGCAACTGGAAGCAATTGCGTCATGAGCACGTGGCAATCATGGGACTTTAAGTTTAGGAATTTCTTCTCTGGCATATGTATTATACCCTTTATATTCGAGGAGAATCCAGATGGTACCTTGATGATTGCTAGGCATTCAAACATGCTTTCCTTCTCTTCTTTGCTAAGAGTGTAGCTGGCAGGACTTAAGTAATGGCGTCCATCATCTGTCTTCTCTGGATGTAGGTTGTCTCGTTCTTTCAAACATCGCAGGTCCTGTCGTGCTTCAAGTGTGTCCTTAGGCTTCCCATACACACCCATGAAGCCTAGCAGGTTCATACAAAGATTCTTCGTCAGGTGCATCACGTCGATCGCGCTACGGACCTCTAGGACTTGCCAATAGGGTAGCTCCCAAAATATGGACTTCTTCCACATGGGTGCGTGGCCGTCAGCGTCGTTTGGAACAGGTTCGCTGCCATATGCCTTTCCAAATACTACTTTCACATCCATGACCATATTGAGTACATCCTCACCAGTTCGGTTGCCCGGCTTGGACTGGTGGTCTGCCTTACCTTTAAAATGCTTGCCTTTCTTTCTTAGGGGGTGATTCGCAGGAAGATATCGACGATGGCCAAGGTACATGACCTTTCGACATTTTTTCAAGAATATACCTTTAATGTCATCGAAACAGTGCGTGCATGCATTATATCCCTTGTTGGATTGTCCTAAAAGATTACTTAGAGCAGGCCAATCATTGATTGTTACGAACAACAATGCTCGCAGGTCAAAGTGCTCCTGTTTGTGCTCATCCCACACACGTATACCTGGTCTGTTCCACAAAAGTAGAAGTTCTTCAACTAGTGGCCTCAGATACACATCGATGTCGTTGCCAGGTTGCCTTCGACCTTGGATGAGCACTAGCATCATAATAAACTTACGCTTCATGCATAACCAGGGAGGTAGGTTGTAGATACATAGAGTAACAGGCCAAGTGCTATGACTACTGCTCTGCTCCCCGAAAGGATTCATACCATCCGTACTTAAAGCAAACCTTAAGTTTCTTGTTTTATTTGCAAACTCCGGGAATTCTCTATTGATTGCTCTCCACTGAGACCCATCAGCAGGGTGTCTCAACATATTGTCTACCTTACGGTCTTCTTTGTGCCATCGCAATAACTTTGCATGGTCTTTGTTTCTGAACAGACGTTTCAAGCGTGGTATTATAGGAGCATACCACATAATCTTGGCAGGAATTTTCTTCGTGGGACGTTCGCCCTCAACATCACCAGGGTCATCTCGCCTGATCTTATACCGTGATGCATGACATACCAGGCATGCATCTAACTTCTCGTACTCCTCGCCACGGTAGAGGATGCAGTCATTAGGACATGCATGTATCTTCTAGATTTCTAATCCCAAAGGGCATACTACCTGTTTTGCTTCATACGTAGTGACGGGCAATTCATTATCCTTTGGAAGCATCTTCTTTTGGATTTTCAGTAACTTCCCAAATCTCTTGTCAGATACATCATTCTCTGCCTTCCATTGCAACAATTCTAGTGTGGTACCCAACTTTTTATGTCCCACATCACAAGTTGGGTATAGCAATTTCTTGTGATCCTCTAGCATGCACTCAAACTTGATCTTCTCCTTTTCACTTTCGCATTCTCTTTGTGCGTCACGAATGGCCTGACCAAGATCATCAGCGGGCTCATCTTCTGCCACTACCTCGTCTTCAGCTTCCCCCATTGCAGTATCATTGAACACTACTATTGTAATGATTTTACGCAGTGGGTGAAATCGGTTTTCCGCGGCGGGCAAAGCTGTCCGTCGTGGTTCAAAGGCCACGGGAAATCATGGCTTTACCACAGCGGGCCAACTTGCCCGCCACGGTTAATCGATTAACCGTGGCGGGCAGGTTAGGATGCCCGCCGCGGTTAATGGTTTGGAAAAAAACAAAAAAAACCCTAGCGAGCCCAATTGAGCCCATCGCCAGGTCCAATCGAGCCCGCTGCCAGGTGCATCGGATCTGCTGCGGACGCGCTCGCTATCGTCGTCCTTGTGTGTGGATCTCGCCGGCCTCCGCCTCCTCATGCCGATGGAGCTCATAGACCCGCTCGCGGTCGTCGTCCTCGTGCGTACGGATCTCGTCGGCCTCTGCCTCCTCGCGCCGCTAGAGCTCGCGGACCCACCTGGACCAGCCGCCGTGGTGGCCGGGATAACCTTGCACCGGATCTGGGCTGCCCAAGGGAAGGCGGCGGTGCTCCTGGACCAGACCTGCATGCATATACAGGGGAGAGAGTGAGGGAGTGGAAGAGAGGGAGATGAGGAGCGAGGGCAACCTACCTGAGTTGGGGGAGGCACGGCGCAGAGGATGGGGAATGGCCGCTGCCGCCGCGCCGCCGCTCTAGTGGAGCCGGATCTGGTGGAGGCGCCGCCGGGAGAGCCGCTGTGCCGCCGTTTGCTTCATGAGGGAGGGGAGCGGGGGAGGCGCCATCGGTGGAGGGAGGGGTGGAGGCCCGCCGCCGTCTAGAGAGTGGAGGGAGAGGGGAGAGGAACACCGCCGTCTGGAGAGTGAAGGGAGTCAGGCGAGTGTGGTGGGTGAGTGGAGGGAGCAGAGTGGGAGTTGGAGTGGAGATGACCTAAGTCTGCTTTATATACTAGCCCGGTAGGAAAACATATATGGGCTTTCACCTGGGCTCTGAGCTAGGCCGAATTTACCGTGGCAGGCCTTATACTATGCCCGCCGCGGTAAATCGATTTACCGTGGTGAGCGTCTTAAGATGCCCGCCACGGTAAATTGATTTACCGCGGCGGGCAAAAGTGCCCGCCGCGATAAATAAAAAATGTCCGCCACGGTAAATCATGGGATTTACCACGGCGGGAAAAAATTGAGCCCGCCACGGAGGCCTCTGGGACACCGTCGCGGTTAATCAATCCTGTAGTAGTGGAAGGCACCATATTCAGCAATAATGTCATCATCGTCCCATTGTTCTTCTTCACCTTCTTCCATTACAACTCCGGTTTCTCCGTGCTTCGTCCAACAAATATAGTTTGACATGAAACCCGACTTCAACAAGTGTGAATGAAGACTCCTTGAGCTAGCATATTCCTTCAAATTCTTACATATGACACATGGGCAACACATGAAACCATCGTGTTTGTTTGCCTCGGCCACACGTAAGAAAGAATGCACGCCCTCAATGAACTCTTGGGAGCGGCGATCAGTATTGTACATCCACTGCCGGCTCATCTACATTACATGACATACACACCATATTAAAACCTAGAACATAATTAGTTAATTATACGACATGCATGCCACCACACAAGGTATTAATTTATGAAAGTCTCGCTACAATGTAGACAATCCCAACTACCACTAAAAAAACTAAAGCTAAAATGCAATTCAGCAGCATAAGGATTTCGCGACCAATCCCAACTAAAACAGACAGATCATGCGTTTGTTCAACATCTATGGGCTTCTTCCACAGGATCACTGCCTCATCAGCCGCCGTAGCCGCCTGTGCAAGAGAGTTTTGCACGTGTTCAACATACTCTTCCTCCCAGTACCAGCCTGAACATCCAGTGCCATCCCACTGAAATTAAAATAAAAAAATAGAACTTTAATTACAATCATCATGAAAATAAGTATAAATTAATCATAATCATCAAATGCGACAAAATAACTCACATTGCAATCCGGGCACTTGTAGAAGATACGGCCCTTGTTGGGACACTCCTTCCTCACCCGGTACTCCATTACAATCTTCTCCTCACACTTGCCGCATGCAATGAGAGGAAGGTTCGGCCTCAGTCGCTTTGTAACCCGATGAGAGGCCGAGGACCCGGAAGCAGTTGCCATCTACTCTCTATACTCATTTTTAATATAATATAAATTTCTCATTTTATAAACAAATAAAATTAAAAAAACTATAAAATTCTCTATATCTCTAAAGCATGAAGTGTGCTATGCATGCTAGAAATGAAAGCTCAATACTAGTTTTGAATAACTACTTTAACCTTCCTTCATCCAAATACGCAAACTTTAAAGTGATTTTGAGCTTAAATGGCTTACAAATAAAAAAAATCTACCATAAAAAAACCACATATATCTAGTCCATAAAATGAAATAAGCTACAGATGAAACACGAAAATATAAAGTTGGTAACCTTTAGAACCGATGGAGGAATGGAAGAAATCTTGTGATACACCGGTGATGAGGAAGAAGAGAGGCCGAGAACACTGAGCTCGAAGTGGCTCGGGCTCGAGGAGGAACAAGGGCTATATAGGAGGATACCTTTAGTCCCGGTTGGAGACAGAAACCGGAACTAAATGTCCCTTTCTAGTCCGGACGGAGCCTCCAGCCGGGAGTAGACTTTTACTCCCGGTTGGAGGCACCAACCGGGAGTAAAAGTTAACCTTTAGTCCCGGTTGGTAGCTCCAACCGGGACTAAAGGTCCCCTGCAGCAAAACCCTGCCGCAGTAGCCGTTGGGCAGGGACCTTTAGTCCTGGTTGAAGCTATAAATCGGGACTAAAGGTCTCTCTACTCCCAGGCGCAAGAAATATCAGGACTAAAGCCAAATTTCGAGGTGGGATCAAATGTCGTTTGTTCCTCTGAGCTCAGTTAGGGCAATGTGCAATGCGTCCTCCTCCTTGCACTCCAAAGGCGGGCATTTGATCGTCTCTGGTTTCCACTCCTCGCTCTCGAGATCGAATGCGGCTATGCGATTCCTAGGATGAAATAGTGAGCAAGTCTTGTAAGACATGATGAAGTAGAGGACGCCATTAACGCTTGCCTTGTCTTTGCAGGAAAAGCTGGTGTCGTAGAATGGGCGCCACAATCCATAATCGTGGCAACCTCGCACCACTGGCTAGGACCAAACCGGTGCGACGAAGTTACGAGGCGGAGGACCTTATAGTCGCCCGACGGTGCAGCGCGGCCAAAGCTGTAGTCACTCAGGGCGGTCGACCTCGACGACGACTTGGCCCACCAGGCGTGCGGCAGGGGATCGTTCGTGCCGACGACGGAAGTCGCGCCCAGGCACCGGATCGATGATCATGGCACCGAGCTGCGCCCTGTCGACGAAGATGAAGTCGAGGCGCGTCGGCGCCAGCAAAGATCTGCCCTCCATGTCGAACACCCTGAGGACGTTGCCATCCTTGTCCAGCAGCCGCAGCTCGCCGCCGTCGCGTTTGCATAGGTTCGCCTGCATTGTTGCGGTGCTCGTAGGCTAGGGTTCGCTCAGCAGCCGCCACCAGGTTTTGCGGAGTTCCGATCCTTTCCTTGTGTAGTTCGAAGAGCCTGCCTGTTTAGGAACTCGAGGTTTTTCGGAGTTCTGATGGCCGCCGCTACTGCCCTGGCATATGGCTGGCCCGAAAATAAACCAACCATCTGAATAGGCCCATTTATGCGCTGGGCTTACTTTCGCTTGGGCCACCGGCCCAACTGTTCAGCGGTCGGGCTCTGCTTCTTTTAGATCACGTTGCCGTCAGCGCACCATCCATCGGTTGCGCAAATGCACCAGAGCCTGTGGCGACTCGGCGTGCTTTAAGGAGCATCGTCCGTTGTGGGCCAGCCTAAATTAGTGGTTCTGTATGCTACACAAACTTTAAATTTAAGAAAACTATGTTTCTAAAAATGAACATTTTCTAACTCCATAGGTATGTCTATCTCCTGCAACGAAAGAAAAAAAACTACGTACCCAATTCCCATAAACATAGCACAAAATTTAACTTTTTGGAACTACACATTATTATTGGGTAATACTCATAAGACATCTAGTTCGTCCACATGGTACACCCCTAATTAGATAGTTAATTGTAATCAGTGGTTTGCTTGTTTGTCCCCTCTGAAATGATCTCCGGTGGCACCTCTATTATTTAGGATTAGTCTCTTGTTATCTTCCTTACTCCCTTCATACTCAAAGATAAGGTCGTTTTGTACAGCGACACGGTCTCCAAAGTATAACTTTGACTTCTTATTTTTATAATTTTTTTTATTGAAAAGTGATATATGTATTTTTTTTATTAAACTATTTTTCAAGACAAATCTATTCATATGATTTTCACATTTCCAAACTCAACAATTTAAAAGTTATTCATGATTTATATTCTCAATGTTTAACCTAAGCCTTGTCCAAAACGATTTGATTTTTCAGTACGGAAGGAGTATTTGTTATCTCATGTGTTCTACTCCAGTTATTATCATGATTCTCTTTCTGGCTTGAGAATTAGATTAATCGGATGAAATTCAGAGACCTGGGGCTAACTAATTGTGTTATTCTTTTTTCTATAACATTTGGTGTTCTTTTTTTAGTTTTTTAGCTTTACTTTATATTATAACACAAAATATTTAAATTGGTCTAAGAGAAAGTTATTATAGCTTCAAGAGATAATTATTCCACAAGAAATAAAATGTTCAAACTTCATTAGAAAAATGTTCTAAGGGTACAATAATGGTCCAACCCTTAGGATAAAAATATTCAAGGTTCACTACAAAATCATACCGATTGTGTACTGGCCTAGCATATGGGTTTGCCTTAAAATAAACCAACCATCTGAATTACCGCACCTACATAAAAGCTTTTATATATACTAGGTTCGTGCCCATGCGTTGCTACGGGATAGCTAACATTTTATGCTAAAAGCACACAGATCGCACGATAAGATAACGATGTTGTAAAATTAAATACCAACGTTAAAGCAAGGTTTTAAATCTCCGGGTATAGCTGCCGCTATAGGCCGCTATAGCTGTTTGAGAAAGATCAAGCTATTTGTGTCTATGTACAACTTAGCCGCTATAGCCCGCTATATCCCCATTTAGTTCCGCTATAGCTGTTTTTGAGGTCATCCGCTAAAATGTCTTAGCCAGAGATTTAAAACACTGCGTTAAAGTGACATTTAATCCAAAAAGCAAAATTTGTGAAATTAACACAATCACGTAGAGCGCGGCATCGCAGGCTCACAAAACCCTATTGTATAGACCTTTCCGTGATGCGGCTAAGATAATGTTTTATATCGGCTGGAACAAATCTCCGATATCCATTTCTTTCATGCACTAATAAATGCACGAATATGTTCCGCCGAGTATATATGTAAATATTAGTCCCACCGCATGGGTAATACTGAGTGTCTTGAAAAATCTCTTTCAAAACCTTAAAACAAAATATGTTGTACTCACCGTATAAATATGTGTGGCTTTATCTATTCCACGCAGACATATACTGTAGAATAAGGTATCCACTTAAGTGTTTGTGTTAAGATTCAGCATCAACAATATATAGAAATAGTTAAATCATAGATATTATTATTACAAGCGATGATGACTCTAAGTTAGTTGAGTGGCCGTGCATTGCAACGGGACAAATAATACCACAAAATGGTCTAGTAGCCAATCCAAAATCAAGATGTGACAAATCTATTTTGCATGTCCCAAATTTAACAGCTTGTCCCAAATTCATCTAATCTCCAAACAAAACATGTTGGTAGTCAAACGGATTCGTTTCGGCAAGATCTACATAACCACGGTCTCTGATCGTCCATACGACTTATGGTTCAAAAAGTTATTTTTTTCTTCTCTTTACTCTACTCAGCCAGCATATTATCTTTTTTATAAATTCTAGGGTATTACAGCGCCAAATTAAGAAAAATCTGATTTAGGCATTCAGAACTAATGCCAAGATGATACATGTTTTGTGCCTGATATAGTCCACATTAAACTACCAGATAGTACATAGAATCTCAATCCAGATCAAGCAATATTTTATTCTACCAATGGTCTACTTTATTTTCCTGAAGTTCAGAGGAAACAAATTATTTCCATAGCCTGCAAATATTATACGTTAGGACTTCAATTTATTTTTATCGTTCATGTTATTTTCCAAACAAAAAAAGATGTAGTAGATGCAAGTCATATTATGTAAACATATAGTCACAAAACCATTTTCTACTAGAATATCACGGTTATCACCCCAACGCCAACATGTCACCCCGACACTGGATTGCTTTTTTCAATCTATAAATTGTATACTTATATTGAGCAAATTAACTCTATAACAGGATGTGCCATCAAAATGCCAGAATGGGATCCGTGGCAACTGATGCATAGGACAAAAAGAATACCTGGACAATTCCACAAGCAGTACATGAGGCAAACAGGCCTGGAGGCATCTGGGAGGAAGAACGGACCATCTGCCCCCTTCACTCGGCATGAGGCACCTTTCAGAGTTTGAGATTTCAGAGGCCTTTGCATTGCTCCCTCGGTAATCCACCATTACACTTCAAGACCTCCATATGATCAAACCGCCTGTGCGCCGCTGATCAATACACTATAAAAGGCAAATACAACAAAATTTCAAGTACAGTAATATACTGTGACGGCTGGTGGAGAGAATTTAAATTAGCTATTTTTAACGCTCTTCTAAAACAGCAACAAAGATGGTCAAATGACCCAAGGACCATCTATTGTATTCGACAACGAAACTTCTTCTGAACCACCCGTGAGCCTTCTGCCTTGAACCGGACTAGGAAGATGAACAGTATGGTTTCACAGGATCATGAATAGTAGTAAGGGAGGGAACACCTGGATTGAAACATAGGCCGTGCACGATCCGTTGATGTTGCCTCTCCACTATAGCGGCGAGGAGGAAGTCAAGCCCGGCGGCGTTGAGGACGAGGAAGCAGGTCGGCGCGGACAAGGCGACGGCAACGGGCGCGATGGCGTGTGCGACAGGCAACGTCGAGGACGAGTGGCGAGGAGGTGAGGGCGGCGCGCAAGGGCAAGTGCGAGGGCACTGCACACGAGGGTGAGGACGTGCGGTGTGCATAGGGAGGACGGTTGCTTAACTGGTAGTGCGAGATGATCGTCACGTGATGTAATCTTTGCGTGATTCCTGAGGGCGCTGATGGCAGGATTGACCAGATCAATCAATCAATCAAAATAGTAGTTTCCTTCATGATCTTGCATGCACACGATTGGCTCACACGCATGCAAGGCAATGAACTTCGGTTCTTTTGCATGAGATCTTGCCTGTGATTGTCGCGCGACGGAGGGAGACTGGATCGCAGGGAGGCAGACCGACGAGGCAAGGCTGCGGGAACGCAGCAGGCAGGACTATGGGCCCATGTTGGAATGTCGCACCAAAAAGTGTCCACGCTTTGTTCTTTTTAGTTATGGGAGATAGAGAATCATGCCCATGTGTTGCAACGGAGGTAAACTTTTTAACGTCAATACAAAGATCCTGTTTGGAACCGAGGTGGGTGACCCCGCGCGCGGTGTGGTGGACGAGCCGCGGTGCGAAGAATATCGAGGTTGCAGTTCATTCCTGCGGTGGATGAGAGAGTGGCGGCGGTCAGAAGAATCAAGGTGACCGCAGGATGTTTGGCAGGCTTTTGTTCCATGGTTGCGGTAGACGATAGAGAATCTAATTTTAATCAGTTCCAAACAGGGCTAAAGAGAAGCGCTAGTTCAGCATAGCAATCACCATTGAAGCTTCATATTGCATTCAAGTACAAACATGCACGTTATGGGACTTGGAACATACATTCAAGAACAAGCTTCATATTACATCTATCTTAATAGCTGAGCATATAGCTTAAATGCAACAAATAGAAAATGCCATATGCACTACAGGAACTGCTGGCTTCCCCGAGCGCCAGGCCCAGTTGCACTCGGGGAAGCCTTCCCCGAGTGCAACACTCAGGGAAGAGCCTCCGGCTAATCCTCCCACGGGAAAGGCGCCTTCCCCGAGTGTCGAAAATCATGCACTCAGGGAAGGCTTTGCAGAGTGCCGTGCTGGCACTCGGGGAAGACTTGACGCCGTTGGCCGACGGCCGACGCCGTTTTTTTTTTATTTTCTTTCCCGAGTGTAACACTCGGGAAATATTTTTGAATTTTTTTTTAAATATTCTTTGCCGAGTGCCGTAACTCAGGCACTCGGCAAAGAAATTTGTTTTTTTTAAATCCCACTTTCCCGAGTGCCACAGCACAGGCACTCGGAGAAGCCACCTCTAAAATTCTTTTTTTTTTTTGTTTTTTGCTTTTCCATGTAAACAACAAAGCATATATATATATATATCACAAACCATAAATCAACACCAATATGTCACAAACCATATTTATATATCACAAACGACCAAATTTGTTTGAAATCCACAATATATTACAAACCACACGTTCAAAAGTACACACTATTCCAAGTTCACAAGTTCAATA